GCGATGCTCCGATGGCCCCAAAACCTGCTGATTTTGCGCACACGCCGAGGCGGAGACAAGGTGCGCCCCCCGCCAAAAGAAGCACGTCCAACGGCACCGATCGCGTCGAGCATCAGTGCCACCCGGTGGCTCTAGAGCCTCCCGCTACCTATCCTAGTTAGGATATTGAGAGCCTCTAGGAGAGGCTCTGGTACTCGACACGCTCGGCGCCAAACTGCGCGGTTCTTTCGTCGGGGGCCGCATCCTGTCTCGGCCTCGGCGTGTGCGCAAAATCAGCAGGTTCTGGGACCATCGGAGCATCGCCGGGGACTCTGAATCTTCCGGGTACCGGTCGTACTAGGCTAGCGCTAGCTAGGTACCGTTTTATATATAGCCGCCTGTAAAACAGCGGGTTTGGACGCCAAGCGGGTCCCCGGCTATCGCGGTCGGCTGGTAGCATGAGTGAAACTGAGATCCAGGCGGGAGCCGCCTGTGACGCTCGAAACACGTTGTAGCTCCGCGTCTAGTTAATCTTTTTGCTCAATGTTCTTTGCAGGTTAATGGTCCAAAAAAAGTTTTACGACTTCCTCCGAAATTTTCGTGCTGATTCTGTCTTCAAGCAAATTATCCCCAGAGTCCCAATGACCACATGCCGGCCACATGCTACAACTTTCAGGTACCGCGAGGCTCTGACTCAAAACTACAGGTTTGCATTTTTTTTTTTTTGTCCAATTCGAGCATAGGCGTCACGATTCGTTAGTGATTGTGGAACTCGCCGATGTTGCGGCCTTTGACACCGAGCTTCTAACCTCGCTTCAAAAGCGCCCAGACTTTCAGTTGCGTCTATTTGAGGCTGCAGCACGCGATGTCTTACAAAGATCTGTCCTCCCATCTATCGAGCGTATTGATGCTGCGTCAAATTTAGCATCAGTTCCTGCTGATTCACACTGTGCACCTGAGCTATCTGAAATTCCGTCAGGTCATCATGCATTTGACGTGCAGCTGGCTTTGCAGTCAACGCAGCTCTCAACACCTCTGCGCTCGCTGACTGCTGAACATGTTGGGCGACTCCTCAAAGTATCTGGGATTATTGTTAGTGCGTGTCTTCGTGTCGTTGGTGAATGTTTTCGCACGTTAGAGGGTCTGGCGAGAGCTTCGAAGCAACAACAAAGAATTGCTAGAATAGCAACACTATAGAGAATTCAAGACCTGAATCATGATCAAAGGTGCATCCAAGGTCAGATCAAAAGCAGTCAAACTCGATATTCAGTCACGCGTGCCGTGCCTCTTGGACCAGCATGTTGATGAAAGCGACTGAGAATCTCTAGGTGCACAAACTGCGGGAAACGCCTTTCTCTGAACTGTGAGGGCGCCTTCTCACATGCCACTCTTCCCAAACGATGCGATGCTGGTCAAGAGCAGGCAGATTGTGGTCCATCTCCTTATGTCGTGATTCCAGATGGCTGTTTGTGAGTGTTTAGATTGAGGAAAGGTTCTGCTCGATAGCAATGAAGAGCTGTGGGACGTAGGTATGTAGACCAACAGACACTGAAGCTACAGGAAGCGCCTGAGGCTGTTCCGACGGGAGAGATGCCGAGGTCGACCCTAGTGGTCGTAGAACGAGGATTGGTAGACCGGGCGTCTCCTGGCGCGAGGGTCTCAATGCTTGGCATGTTGTCGCTCTTTGAAAGGTCTGACACATCACACAATCCAGACGCAGCAGTAGCTGCTATTCGAGTACCATACTTGAAGGTAGTTGGCGTCGAGTTTGACACCAATGGACATGGAGACAAAGAACGGCGGTTTACTCCTGCAGAAGAGGAGCACTTTGTGGAACTCGCTCGACGATCTGACATTCATAATCTGCTCGCAGCATCCATTGCGCCCAGTATACAAGGCGAATACACTTTAGATATTAAAAAAGCACTCGCATGTCAGCTTGTGGGTGGATGCCGGAAGACTCTGCCTGATGGTCTCAGGCTACGTGGTGATATTAATGTTTTACTTCTCGGTGATCCATCCACAGCAAAGTCACAGTTTCTCAAGTTCGTGGAAAAAGTGGCCCCTGTTGGGGTGTATACGTCGGGCAAAGGCTCGTCTGCTGCCGGCTTGACAGCATCAGTAATTCGTGACAAAAACAGAGAATTCTTCCTCGAAGGTGGTGCGATGGTCTTGGCCGATGGAGGTGTCTGCTGTATTGATGAGTTTGACAAGATGCGCGAGACGGACCGTGTTGCTATCCACGAAGCTATGGAACAGCAGACAATATCGATCGCTAAAGCCGGGATAACTACAGTTCTAAATTCGCGCACCTCTGTGCTTGCGGCGGCCAATCCAGTGTACGGCCGCTATGATGATCTCCGCTCTGCAGCAGAGAATATTGACATGATGTCCACGATTCTTTCCCGCTTTGACTGCATCTTCATTGTGCGTGATATCCGTGATGAGAGCCGTGATCTTTCCATAGCAAAGCATGTGATGGGCGTTCACATGAAGGCTTCGAACGCCTCAAGATCGCATCGGGGTGTTAATACACAGCCTGGTTGCGCTTCTGCTCACGATGCAGATACGCTTGACCTTAAGTCACTGAAGGAGTTTGTCGCTTATTGCCGTGCTAAATGTTCTCCGAGGCTGAACAATCAAACTTCAGCGCGACAAGTGTTACTTCATCAGACGTAAACATTGATAGCTACCTGCGCCCGTAGGCCCTTCTTTCATCAGAGTATGTTGCTATTCGTGAGGCGGTCAAGAGCAGAGGCGAACAGGCCGGTGGGCGGCGACATCAAGCTGTACAAATCGGAGCCTGCCTATGCAATCTCCCAACTTCGCCTAACTCTCACTTAATGTACATGTATCAGCTCTCTCTTCATACCTACAATTTAGGTGCCTGTCACGGTACGTCAATTGGAAGCCCTTGTGCGGCTTGCAGAGTCCCTCGCTAAAATGCGGCTCCAAGCCAGCGTGCAACCTCAAGATGTCCACGAAGCACTAAGAATTTTTAAAGTTTCGACAATGACAGCTGCATCTACAACGCCACAGACTGCAGGCGCAGAACTGCGCTTTTTAGGAGATGATCAGCGTACACAAATTCAGAACGCTGAGCAGTTTCTCAAGCAACGTGTGCCTGTTGGCGCTGATGCAAAAACGATACGTCTACTTGAAGAAGGTATTGCTCTTGGGCACTGTGACTCTGCGCTCCGACGTGCTCTGAAAATAATGAGCAACCGTGCTGAATTTGCAGAACTCGAGAAAGGGAAGCGACTTCGCCGATTACGATAGACAACAATCAAACTATTGGTCAATGGTACGACCACTACAAGCACGCCGTAGCTTGCTACTGGCAGGGCATGGGAAACCGAAATGGACTACGCTCGCGTTTTGGCGGCCCCCGTGGACGCGCTTAAGTGCCCCATATAGCTAGGAACTACCTCCGAGGTATCCTAAGTGAGACTTGAGACCATATGAGGAACACTACTTGGTCCCGACTAACCTACTGTGCGCTTCGTAATACGGATCAACAAAATTCGATTAGCGGACCACAAAACGCGTGCAAATCCGCTGGAATACACTTCTGATCTATTCCAACAATCCTAGATCAAAGAAGTGGCTGAAACGCGCCCTGCCCGATCCCATGTTGAAGTTCAAGTTGAACATACAGCTCTATGTTGAAGTTATTTGTGGCCGCCAGAAGCCGCCACAAGGCAATGTATGGGCCGCAGGGCTTCATGAGGAGTCAGGAGAACGGATGGAGCTGCTTCTCCGGTGATGTTGGTCGCCGTAACGGCCCGGAAAGTTGGTTTTATGTTGGTCCTTTGCAAATGAAGCGCACAGTAGGTTAGTCGGGACTAGTAGTACTTGACTAGTACTTACCCATGTGCGCACAAACTCGAACGCGAAAATTACGACGCGCTCTTGTTGGGAATCAGGGCTGCTTAGCAGCCCCATCTCACTTTTCCATTTTCAGTCTAAGTCAGGAACACTGCCATTTCCCCTCGAGAAGCGCGGTCCGTCGGCCTTCATTCTGGCATCTTTAATTGAAACTGAGCTCAACCCCCCCTTGAGGGAGGATCTTACTTGCTTCCTTTAGCTCAGGCTAGTGGGAGATACGAAAGGCCAAGTGGACGGAAACATTATATCTGATTGACTACAGCACTTCCCTATATTTCTATCATTCCTCATGGACGCACGCCGTGCTCTGATTCTTTTTTGAAAAAAATAGTTGAATAGTCTTGCCGGGGGAATGCATTGGCACACTTTGGGAGATGTTCACTACAGAAAGTGGGATATCTATCAGGTGTATTCTGTAATAATCAGTTTCGAAAATAATAATCTTAATGCAGATGGCATGGAACGTGGACCTATCGAAAGTGCTGATGGCGGGGGCGCGATTCGGGGGGGCCTTGGCCCTTGTCGAAAAGGAAGCGCGGATACATCATCAGGTTAGAATTTTGTACTAGTCGGTGCTTGACGTGCGCGGTCTCAGATCGGGGGGGAGGGCCAGGGCCACAGACGGCAATTGCTAATTTTCACAACCTCAGGTTAGATGAAGTAGACTGCAGACGCCACTCAAGTTCCTGTAGGTAAACAACTCGCGAGCATCATGCTAGATTGTTGCCAGTTAGTTGGGATGGGATGGACGGAAGGGGAGCTGCTGGTTATTGTTCTACGGGACGGGACTGTGTTGCTATACGATGTCTTGGGAAGATTTGTGCAGACATTCCTGTTATTACTGCCAGCTTCGCCTTCGGAGGATAACATCACCGAAATATGTCTTTGGGGATCTGGCATTGTTGCATTGACAGGCACCATGGCGCTGCAAGTATGTGATGATGTCACCGTAACATCTCCATCTGTTTACCGTATGTCAACTGGGCTCTCGCCAAGACGGCCTGCTACTTCGATGGTTGTTTTGCAGCCGTGTTTTACGTCATCTGGGCTTGTTGAAGTTATTCTCGGTACAAGTGACAGTACAGTGTTAGTCGTGGACACAAATGGCCCCGAGGATCAACTTCTTCAACAGCGAATTCAGGCACCAGTAATTTCTATGGCGATAGCCCCGAATGGCCGCTTCTTGGCCTGTTTTACAGCATCTGGGATTCTCACCGTCATGTCTACATCGTTCACGACGAAGGTGCTAGATTTTGATACATCAACTACATCAAAGCCGCTTCAGATGCAATGGTGTGGCGAAGATTCTCTCATTATGTATTGGGAACATTTTTTATTAATGGTTGGGCCGTACGGGCATTGGTTACGATTTCCATACGCAGTACCCCTGTGCTTGATATCAGAATTAGATTGCTGTCGCATTATATCCAGCACTAACTGTGAGCTGTTACAGCGAGTGCCTGGGCCAATCGAATCAATTCATCGAATAGGTTCCACCGATCCTTCAGCGATGCTTTATGACGCCATGGAAGCATTCGAGGACGGTGATCCTAAAGCTGATGAAACCATGCGCTCGATGGAACTCACGGGACAACTTGGTTTCGCAATCCAAACAAATATTTCAGCTGCGGCTGCTGAGATATTGCCAACTCAACAAAAACTCTATCTGCGCGCCGCTATATATGGCCAAGGATTTTCCGGAGGATCCGAATTTACCGATCATTATATCGCAGCTGCTCGTAAACTTCGTATTTTGAACCAACTTAGACGTCACGTGCCTGCCATGTGTTTGACGTCGGCTCAATATGATCGATCATCACCAACTGTATTGGTAGATCGACTGCTGGCAAGAAACGAACATACATTGGCAATGTCCATCAGCAAATATCTGGGAATCCGCAGAGATCGCGTCCTTGTACATTGGGCATGTGCTATGCTGCGCGGCTCTGCCGCCTGTGCTTCACTAGATGAAACGATGGTCAACAAATTGCAGACTTCCCTCAAACTGCCAGGTTCTGCTGTTTCATACACTCAAATAGCCGCGACTGCTGATTTGATTGGCCGCCGCCGACTGGCAACGATGCTGCTAGAGTCGGATTTCAACACAACTGAGCAGGTCAAGCTGCTGCTCACTATGAAAGAGTGTGGACTCGCCCTTGAGAAGGCCTTAAAGTCCATGGAGGTAGACCTCATATATCTTGCTCTATTGAGCATGCAAAGGGCACATCACCTGATTTCTAGTCGGAGCGCATGGCATGGATCTGAGACGAAAGCCTCTTTCGCTCAGTTGATTGAACGAAGCGCAGATTCGGCCAACTTGATGCGAGTTTACTATGAATCGTCTACTCAAGCAAGATCGCACGAAATATTGCACAATTTTCTTTCAAGTAGTCTTGGTAGCACCGGGCTACATCTGGCAGGCAACTTTGCAGTTGGACAATGTTACCAGCAAAGTTGGCTTCGAGGTCGTTTGAAAAAAATGCGAGAAGCAACCTCACTGTTTGCCCAGGGTCGAGAACTGCAGTTTCACCTCAAGGCCTGCGAGGAACAAATGCAGCTCTTGAAACTGCAAGGTGAACTAGAGCTAAAATTTGGAGTAACGTGTTTCGTGGATATGTCCGTCAGTGAAACCATCTA